CAGAGAGCCCACTCCCCACTGCAGGAGTCTCCTTTTGCTTTTCAAAGTTAAAAAAAAAAAAAAAAAAAAAGCTTTATTGTTTTGATCATAAATAAGATCTCTCTTCTATAATGTTCCCTGAGGCACACATCTTCCTAAAAACATATCTCCTTTATAGTGAAGCCATTTGAGAAATTCTTCTCTTTCAAGAAAATTTCAACTTCCTTAGGATATTTTTTGTCCCTCTGGAAAGTAATTCAGAATTATATATTAAACTTTCTATTTACCTTATATTTAAATAACAGTTAAATCAAATTAAAAATGACTAGATTTTGTATGTAGTGCTGTACAATGATTACTACTGCAAAATAAGGATCTTGGCCAGGCGCAGTGGCTCACGCCTGTAATCCTAGCACTTTGGGAGGCTGAGGTGGGTGGATCACTTGAGGTCAGGAGTTCAAGACCAGCCTGGCCAACTCAGTGAAACCCCATTTCTACTAAAAATACAAAAGGTAGCTGGGCATGGCTGCGGGCACCTATAATCCCAGCTCCTCAGGAGGCTGAAGCAGGAGAAGCTCTTGAACCCAGAACGCAGTGGTTGCAGTTAGCTGAGATCATACCATTGCACTCCAACCTGGGCAACAGAGTGAGACTCTGTCTCAAAAAAATAAAAGATCTTAAGAAATCACAAGATCCTGGTGGACTATCAGAAACTAACTAAAATCATGCTGATTTTGCTCAATGTATGCATTGTCAATACATAATCTTTAAACAACCAAAATATTGGCTTATCAGGATATACTAATTTTAATATTCTACATAAGAGAATGTTTTCTATGATTTTTTTTAAATACAATCAACACTATTTTTTGTCATGAGTATTACACTGACAATTCATGAAATATTACTTCATGACAACAAGTGAGTGTCTTGTCAAGGACCAAAATTGGTAGAAACATTAGCAAAGAGCATAGGGTGCACAATCTGCTCAACAGACTTTGTTGGCCAATGCTAAGTGAGGTGCACATTTGATCCTACAGCAAAGGTAGATTTCACAGGCATCATTCAAGTACTTGAGAACACCTGTTTAGCATAAGGCAATGTGGGATTGTATTTCATTTACCAAAGTTAATTCAATGCCATCCATCAGCCATTTCTTGAATATCTGCTATGTGTTCTGAAGTCATTTCCTTTTCGTTTTATTGAATCATCCATTCTTTTTATGTTGACTTGTTCATGCCAATTTTTCTCGGAGGGATGTCTCTGTTTCTTCATCAGGCGATTGTGTCTGTATAGACTCAGCCAGAGCTCAGCTCTCAGTAGCCACTCTCCTATTCAGGAGCTCATGTCTAAAACCAAAGGAAAGACTCCAGTAGCTAGAATCAATTTGATAAGAAGCCCTGCATACTTTGTCTGAGGTTTATAATCTTTTTGAATCACCACTAAAGTACGTCCTTGGAAAAATAAGGAAAAGACACCAATCAGGCAAAATTGTTCCAATTATCCATTTTACATTAGCTTTGGAGGTTTGGTCATGGTGGTTATGATGGCCTTCTTCTTCTGTATCATGGGATACAATTTCTGTCCCAGCCAAAGAGCCTACTTTCCTTTTTTTAATTTTTATTTTGGACACCTGTTTCATTTCCCAGCCAGTGTCAGTACTCCACAATGGGCTCACTTCTCCAGCATCCTCCCTCCAAGCACATGACTCCACTTCAGGTGGTATTTAAAAATCTCTGCCTCTTCTGACATTTAGCATTTCCCCAGCACTACCTCTGATTACTTTCCCTGCCAATGTGTCTATTTGTTCTCTAAAGGAATGTAAGTAGTGACACAATTCTAGTTATTTTCAGATTATCTTTAATGATGTCATTTTATTTTGGTGCATAACAAAGAATAAAAGTGAACTACATGAATCATGTAACCCTACTTGAAATAAGGACCCAATGTGAATTAACTCCTAAATTCTTTTAACAACTAATTATATGTTGTATTTATTGCTGTTTTTGATAGTATAAACTTCCTAGTATGCCACTCCCCCAAATGAGACATTTTTAATAGTAGTAGAGATACATTTGACTTGGTCAAAAGTTATCTGGAAATGAACCATTCAACAATATGTCATGTAATAATAGATATTTCAGGTACCGAGATCTTGTCTCTTGAAGACATTAGCATCCTATGGAATTCAACCATCTCCCATTCATAATGAGTTTCCTCTTAAAGAAGTGATTGGCCTTGGAATTATGGTTTTGAGAACAAACGACAGCCCTTTATTCAACAAACCTAATCAAAAACAGTAAATTGAGGTATTGCATCACTAATAGTTTAGATTTCATCAGACTTATGCCACTTACTATAAAAGTTTTTCTTTTAACTATCATTATTATTTAACATTGTCTGTGTGTTTAGCCAATGTGCTAAAGCAAGGCAAGATAAGTATTACTCTTAGAAAATAATTATTATTTTAAAAAAATATAATTTCCCTATCTAGAAAACTCAGAAAAAAAAAACAGGAAAAACTTTTGGAACCCATAAAATATATTCAGTATTATGGGGCTAAATATGACACTAATTTAACAAATTAATAGCTTTGTTTTATATTAGCAATAATCAGATAGTATAACAAAATTAAACCCATTTATAATAGCATCAGTTATTATAAAATGTACAGAAATTTACTTTATGAGAAATGTGCAAGCTTGATATAAAGAAAAAATTTAAACATTATAGAAAGTCATCAAAGAAGAATTGAAAAGGTAGGAAATTATATCATGTTCCAACACAGATAATCTCAATAATATAGATCTGCCACCTCATCTAAAACGCATTCTGTAAATGTAATACAATTGCAATCAAAGTTCCAAAGAATTTGTTCCATTGGCAAATTAATCTTGAAGTTCATCAGAAAGATTTAATCTCAGATTCAATGGTAATTATAAGTGAATTAGTCTGAAAGCATGATGACAAGATTATTAGATTTTAACTATTCCATGCAGCCATTTATGTGATAATTATGTAAGGAAAAACTTAAATATTTTAATGAGACAGATGGGGGTATAAGGAGAACAGATGTTGAAATCTTACGCTATCTTTATCTCTTCTCAACTTTCCTCTTCTGTTCCTTTCAGTGATCAATGAATCATCTTGGGTGATATCTTCTAGTTTTGATGCTCCTAACCTCATCTGTGCATTGCTGAACCAATTTCTTTAAAATTTTCCACATCTCCATTCTCTCCATGCTTCAAAACATTCAAAAGACTGCTTTCTTAACCTTGCGCAAGTGCTTCAAAATTTGCAAAATTTTCAATGAAATTTAAATGACCACATACATAGTTTTTAGGTGTTACATCATGAAGTTAGGCATACTTCACACTAACAAACAATGAAATCTTAGGTGTATTTTTAAAATCTCACTAAGCCTCAGTTTCCTTAATGAGCTTTATAATATTGTCTCATAGAGTTGTTGTGCCGATTGTAAAATAATCTATTGAATATCAGTTAAAGCTTTTGTATTTATAGATTTAGAACACTGAACGGAATGAAAGATAGCCCTTCTCTCTTATCCTGAGAAGCTGGATGGACATTGTGTTATGAATTCTGCATCTCTTCCCTTGGTAGTTTAGATCTTTGAAGTGAAAAGAGAAATTTTCAAGCACCCCTAACACCCAGGATGTCTCAGCATCTCAGTGGGCAGAAATAGATGAGCATAGAAGATTTTGAGAATCCTTCCTTAGGGTTAGTGTATTAGTCTGTTGTCACACTTCTATAAAGATATTGCCTGAGACTGGGTAATTTATAAACAAAAGAGGTTTAATTGACTCATAGTTCTACATGGTTGGGGAGGCCCTGGAAACTTACAATCATGGTGGAAGGCTAAGGGGAGGCAAAGCACATCTTACATGCAGGCAGGAGAGAGAGAGAAAGCGCAGCAGATACCGCCGCTTATAAAACCATCAGATATCGTGAGAACTCAAGCACTACCATAAGAACAGCATGGGGGAAACCACCCCCATGATCCAATCACCTCCCACTAAGTCCCTTCCTTGACACAAGGGGATTACAATTTGAGATGAGATTTGGGTGGGGACACAGAGTCAAACCATATCAGGTGGTGGATGGGACATTTCAGGTCCACGAATAGTGGGAGCAGTACCTGGTTTCCACAAGGAAACCTTCAGAACCTTAAATGGGAAAAGCCACAAAGTACTTTTTCCTTGACAAAGATTCTTATGCCGGTGCTTGACACAGAATATCAGAGTTACTTGTCTTCAAGGAGCCCCGTGAGCTTGGAAATTGAGCAGCAAAGTGAACTCAAGGCCAGCAGACTCATCTCTAGATGTTCTGTTCTGGGACTCAGGCGTGGTCTGAGAAAGGGGAAGAGTTCCCATAAAACATAACCAAGAGAGAATTTTCCATCACCTGAGCGAGTAGGGTTGGGGAGTAGATTTAAATTATATTAAAAAATTGCTTAAACCTGAAAGTCATGGAATAAAGTTTCATGCATACTACATAAAACATAATGAAAATAAGGCATTCAGCAGTAGCAGCCATAAATAAATGCCCACTCCATGGACATGATAGTAGCAGAAACATATAAATGCCCACTCCATGTCAGCAATTATTATCATTTTTTATTATTTATATTTCATTCATGACACATCTTTAACCAATACCATGCAAGCCACACATGTTCCCCATTGTGGCACCTCTACTCCAGGCAATATGGTACATCTATTCCAGGTAGGCTGTTCCTTTGTAGCTCTCACAGCTATTTACTTACTATCATCTTTGTCCTTGTTTTCACTATCTGCATTCCCAGTGCTAGGCCTTTCTGTCTCTGACATTCTGTTTGTATCCATTCTTTATAGCCACATTCAAAGTAAAGTTCCCCCAAGAAAACTTTCTTGAATAACCCTTGATAGTCTCCGCAGTCCGTAGGGTTTATTTATAGAACACATGGCATCAGCAGATGCTGACCAAGCCCACTCATGTCCCTTCACTCCTCACCATTTCTACAGGAAGCTGTGACTCAGCCTGAAGGATTTCTGTGGTCAATGGAACGTGCCCAGCTCATGTGTAGAGCAGGAGGAAGTGCTCCTGCTCCAGAATTCCCCAGAAACAAAGCAACCTTCAAGCAATGACATCTGAAAGTTGAAGGACAGATACTTCAGCTCTGTCAGTATGTTGTATGGGACAACTCAGTCCCTACATAGTCTAAGGGGTCCAGCATGATTAATCTCCTACAGCAATAAATAACCTGCTAATAGATGCACTCTGATTGGCATCCTTCCTTTCTCTCCCTCGCATTCCCACATCCCTAAAGGTACTTTCTGGTAGATACTTTCTAGCATCTTCCCACGCACTCTCTCCACCCAAATTCTTGTTTATAGGTCTGCTTGTTGGGGACAGAACAGAAACAACATCACCTCCCACTTTCTTACTTGCTGCCTTAAAAATAATGATTTCCCTTCCTTAATTATTATCTTCCCAACAAGATTATAAGCTCCCCTGGTGCAGAGCATACTGCTGGTCTGTGAGCTATTTGTTGGTCTGTGAGCCATTTGTCACTGCAATGAGATAAGTACATAAATCAAGAGTAAGTGTTTAGAAATTCTTATAGCAATTTTCCATCGCCAGAACATCCAACCATGTGATCAGTGGGCTTACCCAGTGAACAGGCAGGGACCAGTTAGATGAGTCCCGTGATACATGTTGTCTGCTAGTCACGTGCAGGATAACCATGTAGCAGACATGAAGAGGTGCGAAACTTTATAAAAGGGTCCTTCCCCACAGATAACTTCAAAATCACCGCTCTAAAGCATCTCTAACAGTTCTGGGCACCAACTGACGTGCACAGTAATTTAATTTAACATTTTGTTTTTGTGGACACCTTAGGATAAATATATAGTCACCTCAGTAGATAGGTTTATTTTTATTTGCCATTGATTCTTACACAGATTTATCCCAGGATGGACCATTTTCATATTTGTCACGATCATGCACCAGGCTTTCCAAGTGTAAGCTTTACATGGTGGGAACTAAAACAGAAACTGACAAAATTCTGAAGTGCTAAAAGAATCTGGAAACCCTGACAATTTCCCCCACATCTTCCATTCTCATTTAAACTATTGATACTAAGGTAGTCTTATTCACATTAGTGTTTGATCTCAGGGTAGATTTCAAAACAATGCTCCTGCCATTTGCCCTCTTCCTTCACTACCAAGTCTCAGAAGGATATGAAGCATTTGAAAGCCAATCAGCTTTCACAGTTGTATCTCTAGGGCAAGTGTGAGGACAAATGGAAACAAAGCCAAATGAGGAATCACCACATTCGTTTTTCAAGTCATATATGGCCTGGCACAGTGGCTCATACCTGTAATTCTAGCACTTTGGGAAGCCAAGATGGGAGGATCACTTGAGGCCAGGAATTTGAGGCTACAATAAACTGTGATCATGCCATTGCACCCCAGCCTGAGTGACAGTGAGACGCTTTCTCTATTAAAAATAATGATAGGCTGCTCTGTCTATGGAGTAGCCATTCTTTTATTCCTTTACTTTCTTAATAAACTTGCTTTCACTTTGCACTGTGGACTCGCCCTGAATTCTTTCTTGTGCGAGATCCAAGAACACTTTCTTGGGGTTTGGATTGGGACCCCTTTCCTGTAACGTATTTCTGGCAACCGCAGAAGGGACTACGGTGCAGAAACCCTGACCCAGTGGCTACCTTTGGGTAAGCGTTGGTGTCCTGTAACTTTATTCTGGTGAACACGGAAGCGACTATAGCGTGGAAACCCCCAACCCAAAGGCTAACTTTGGGTAAGTGGTGGGTTCTGGTAACATCTTTCTCACAAACCACAAAACGGACAATACTGAGAAGACGCCTCTGACCCAAAGGAAATAGACTGCAGCACTGATTGGATGACTTTGGGTAAGTGGTGGGGTATGCGAGCGGGTAAAGAATGAGATTGGGTTAGAGACCCAACTTACGGGAGTTAGAATCTCTTCTACCACCCAGTGGGTTAGAGGCCCCTCTTAATAAAAGGCGAGGGGCCGGGCGCGGTGGCTCACGCCTGTAATCCCAGCACTTTGGGAGGCCGAGGCGGGCGGATCACAAGGTCAGGAGATCAAGACCATCCTGGCTAACACGGTGAAACCCCGTCTCTACTAAAAATACACAAAATAGCCGGGCGTGGTGGCGGGCGCCTGTAGTTCCAGCTACTCGGGAGGCTGAGGCCGGAGAATGGCGTGAAACTGGGAGGCAGAGCTTGCAGTGAGCCGAGATTGCGCCCCTGAACTCCAGCCTGGGCGGCAGAGCCAGACTCCATCTCAAAAAAAAAAAAAAAAAAAAGAACAGGTTTGGCATTATGGGATGTCAACTGCTATTCTTTTTGGAGTAATCTGTCTTGTACGCTTTGCTGATGGCTGTGGGTGACGGGGTTAGGCACCTACAGGATCGTGGTACATGGGGAGCTTTTTCCTCCCTAAAAGGGGAAACATGAGAACTGATGGAACTGCTGGGAAAAAATCCCTTCACAACAGCAGCCTCAGCCGCCTGAAATTTTCAGTGTCAGCGCAATAGCTGGGTCTTTCTCTGTCCTCCCTAGGCATTTCACCTTCCCCACCCTGCCACAGACAATGCTTTTCTCTCTCTCCTTTTCCTTTCTTTTCTCTTAGGGTAACCACCTTGCCCAGAGACCACGTGTTGAAACTCCAAGTCAGAGGTTGGATTAAAGATGAAGGGGCCTATCTGGGGGCAAATTTAGGCCTTGCCAGTTTGATATTAGGTGCTAAGCAGAGTAGCTAATGTCTATGTTTTATCACATGTATTTTGCTCTGGCCAGAACGAAAAAATAATAATATTCCTTATGGTGTGGCTTGGTCCCCAGGGCGATGATGCCGCAAGTCGGTAAGAGGGATCACTAGGGCTGCTCAGGGAAAGAGGACCCAGAAGCCTGGCATGCTGGGCAAAATGATAAGAATTTCTCAGCAGTCAGATTTCTGGCTTCTCTCTCTCTGTGCAAACAGTTGAATGAATGGAAAAAAAAAATCAGTGTGTATCTCCTCTGTAAAGTTTTGATTAATGTGAAAAAGAATTCTAAGGCTAGCCTTAAACTGGTGTATTTTGTGCTATGAATTCGTTTTTCCGTGTCGAGGGGTACTTCAGGATAAAAAACGGGCTTAGAACCCTGTAAGCCCACTTTTCAAGATGACCCCAGCAAGCTGGTCAGTAACAAACTTAGCTACAGGTCCCTGGAACAAACAGAAAAACTGAATGAAGTCTCCACATTGTTTTATTCCCTTGGGAGCTTCACCTTTTAACCAGGTGGCAGTACTTTCTTTTGGTCTCTGCCTACAGGGAACAAGAATTTTAGGGTTCATGTCATAGTTAGCTCTAAAAATTATATTAAATAGTTAAAAGCCTTTGCAAGCTCAAAATTAACTACTCTGACTCATGCTGGGAAAAGAAGTGGAGACTGCCCCTTGCTATAGCTCACTAGCTAAGGTTTTGCATTTTGAAGGTGGCTGTCCAGGCTCCATTCCCCACCTAGGAAGTAAGTAGTTATTGGCTTAATAACTGCATGACCTTGTCTAGTCTCTTCTCTGTGGACTGTCTTAAATTTTCCTTTCTCTAAGCACCTAGGAGGCGACCTTTGGTGAAGTTCAAAAGCCAGAAATATTGGCCATTTGGCATATTAAATTCTAAAAGGACTTTATTAAAGAGTGTTATGGTTAAAATCAGCTTAATTAAAAGTGGATAAACAAGCTATCGATACATTTTAAAGGCCTTTATGTTTTTCTCTTCTTGGAACTTGCCTTTCTGGAAAAAGGTTTTTTCTTCTCAGTCGACTGAATTATTTTTCTCCATTTTTTTGGTCTTACCACTCTTAATGCACAAATAAGAGGCCCTAAGGTAACTTCTCGTAGCCTGGGAGTCCTTGGGAAAACAGAGGAGGTGCCACAGACCCCGTTTGGGGGAAAAAACAACAACAATGAAACAAGCTGTTTTCTTCATGAAACCCCGGGAATTAAAAGCAGATAGATCCCTCTCAAAATCAAAGGCTCTGTTCTGTTTTGCATTGTGTTATCTGATGGTTTTGAGTTTTGGGGGTATCAGAAATTACTTCACATTATGAGAGAGCTTTTGTGTGTAATAACTGACTAAGGAGGAAATATATTTTAAGGGATGGCTAATAGTAGTTATGAAGGGATACTTAACTCTTTGCATACTTGGATCAGAGAAACATGCTTTTGGCCACCTGGAAGATAAGGAAACATTCCCACCCCCCACTGGGAGACGAGACTCCCATGAGGGATGGCTGATACAAAATGGGCTGATTTGGGTTGCCCTGTATTGAAATGCAAAGTAGAAGCATTGCACTGTCTTCTCCCGTATTATTTCCCTCCTTTTGGGAATTCAGGAACCAGTCTAAAATGGCATCCTTAATTTTGGGGATCTGTCTTTGCCTTCAGCTGCTTATTTGCTGCTTATTTAGCCCTAGAAATGCATGTTTTCCTGGCCCTGTTTTTCCAAGGGCTCCACCCTGAAGTCTATAATCCAATTAAGAAACTGGCAAATGAAAAATCTTACAAGTGCTGAATATTCTGACTGTATATGTGTTGTATGTTTATATATCAAAGAGCTCTCATTAATTGGCTTAGAAAAATAAGCACTTACACCAAATATTTTGTCAGAACAATAGAAACCTTAATGCTTTCTGTTCACATAACTTTAGTAATCTTTTGGAAATAAAGATCGTTTTAATGATTATTGGTAAAATAAAATGTCTTGAAAATGTAGACATTTGGTCTAAATTAAGGTCAGATATCAGATTTGTTAAATGTTTTAAGGTCAAACTGTTTGTTTGACTTTTGAAAATTGTTCAATTTACCTACCTTAAAGCCATTAGATTCTAGATAAGGTCTGGGGACATGTGGAGTTAGCCACACCCCCTAGCTATGCTGGAGAGTCAACTCTTATCTGCACTTCTGCTTGGTGTGTCCTAGGCTAGGCTCCACACCTAGTGAATAATTAAAATTTCAAATTTACTAAGGTTTCCACCAAAAATAAAAGTTTCTAAGAGTTAACATTATAACATGTAATTAAAACTAGTAAAGAAACAATTTTGCATGGAAGGTGTGTAAAGAAAGTAAAATGTGTTTTGGTGAAAGATGATAAGAAGTCATGGGAATGTGGATTTTTTTTCTGCCTAGATTAAGGTGTTAAAGGATTGTTTTAAGTAAGAAAATAATCTAAAGATTTAAACAAGTTGTGGAAGGTTCATAAAAATTAATTGTAAGAGATTTTGTGTGTGAACATATTGGCTAAAGTTAAAGGGGGTATTATTCAGTTTTTCCATAAATTAAACATTGGAATAAAAGCACAACAGGTTTTTTTGATCAGCTCTTTCCAAAAAAAAAAAAATAATGTAAAGAATGTAAAGGGTTATGCAAGGTTTATAAGACTCTTACCTTATGGTTACATGTTAGAATTGGGTAAATATGTCTATAAGGTTTTATTAAATATTGAGTTTAACATTAATAGTACATTAATGGGAAAGTGAAATTTGGTTTATTTGGTGTAAAAGTCACACAAGAAGCATTATCAAATGTGAAATTATCAAATTTCTTGGAACTATATTTGCATAAATGTGTTATTGGTATATGTTCCAAAGTTATGGGAAACTCCTGTAATTCTAATATGACTTAGTGTACGTTGTTAATAATTATAATTATATAAAATTTTGTGTGCCACAGAAGTTACCACATTTCCTTATCAATTGTGGCTTTAATAGTGACTGTCCTAAAACATTTTGTCATCCACAGACAATTGTCTTGTTTTAATCCTCTTTAGAAGGTGGTTTATAATGAACTATAGAAGTCTAGCAGGTGTTCTTAAATGCAGGTTTCTAATTGAAAATTATAACACCAGAATAGAGGAAACAACTTTCAGAACTCTCATGAAGAGCTAGAATGTTCACGTATATCAAATAGAACAGGAATTAACTGAATTAACTGAACCAATAGAAAACTGAAGTAATCTTTTTAACTTTGCTTAAAACATTGCTAACCCTTTATTTTGTTTCTCAGAGTCAAGGAAACTTTTTTGGAGCTATTTACAGCTTTCAGCAATTGAGTAAAGTATACTCCTGTGAAAAAAATTTAGAGCATATTTGTTTCTCTATACCTGATTTCTCTGGAATTTGGAAACTAGTTGTGAGTACCCTTTTAACCTATGGCAATATAGTTATTAGCACAGGTGCAACAAGAATCTGTTTTCTTTTGTAACGGGACACAATTTGGAGAAATTGGTTGTTTTACCAAGGTTTTGACTGGAATGGTGTGTTTTCCTTCAAGGAATCAAACTTGACTTGTAGAGCCAATAAGAGTTCCCCAGTTCCTTGGGGAACTGGCCTCATACCTTGTCTACACAGTCCCTATATGGGGTTTCTGACCTGTGATAAGTATACAATGTCACTTTCTAGCAGGTCCAGGAGCCCCAAGTTATCTTAGGCCCTCAAATGAGAGAAATTTACCCAACTCATAGGTATTTGAAGGTACAAACCCATGGCAGAACTCAGCTTTAAAAAAGTCTTATCTGAGATTCCTTATGAAACAGAGCTCCTTCAAAGCCAATTAAAAAGCCTATGTGAAAAATAATTATTCTTGCTGCACTTTATACAAATAATCAGACCAAATATAATAAAGCAAGTCAGTCTTACCATGATTTGTCTTTAGTTAAAATGGGAAACTGGAGTCAGAAATATTATGTTCCAGAACTGTGGTACACTTGTTATTAAATTCTAGTCTCATTAGTTGTTTTTAAGTTTGTTTCTGCAATTTAGGATAACCCTGCTTATTCCTGTGAACCAATCAGTGATCTCTGACTGCTACTCAGAAGAAACAAGAGGGATGGGCAATGTAAAAATCTGGATCAGTATTCTAATTCTGGACACATTACAATCAGTTAACAACCCCATATAAGCTTAGTTCCAACAGTTGCCCAGTTCATAAGAAGCCTTCTAATTTAGTTTACTTGGAATAACTTTACTTATTTTGCTTTACTTCTGTGGAATATATTGCTGTTTTACTCTTTGTGTAGGAATACAGAAAAAGCTTACTGAATGTTTTCTTAAACTAAACACTTATTAATCTTCCAGATATCACCTCTTGTCGAAACTCAAGAGTCACGAATGGCCCTCGCCATATTGATGCTTTCTGAATGAGCTCCTCTCTACTCTGACTGCAAGAGACCCTCATAAGTAGGTGGGAATATCATCGCCTCTATTCAGCCTGAAGAAGTTACAGAAGATGGATCTTTGTCCTTCTGCAACCCTTAGGATTAAGACTTTCTTATAAAAGAAAGGGGGGAAATGTCAGAGGTATGCAAACCAAAGCAACTCCATCTTCAATAGGAGCCGAGTAAAATGAGGCTGAAACCTGGGCTGCACTCCCAGACAGTTAAGGCATTCCAAGTCACAGGATAAGATAGACGTTCAGCACAAAATACAGGTCATAAAGACCTTGCTGATAAAACAGTTTGCAGTAAAGGAGCTGGCCCTAAAACCCGCCAAAACCAAAATGGCAACGAGAGTGACCTCTGGTCTTCCTCACTGCTAAACTCCACCAGTGCCATGACGGTTTACAAATGCCATGGCAACATCAGAAAGTTATCCTATATGGTCTAAAAAGGGGAGGTATGAATAATCCACCCCTTGTTTAGCGTATCATCAAGAAATAATCATAAAAATGGGCAACCGGCAGCCCTCGGGGCTGCTCTGTCTATGGAGTAGTCATTCTTTTATTACTTTAATTTCTTAATAAACTTGATTTCACTTTGCAAAAAGAAAAATGATAAGAAGATAAAGGCATACATGAGGACTCCAACCTAGTTATGACACAGGAATTCTTTGTAATAGAATAAGAGTCATTCATCAACAGACTCAAAGTTAAGCTATCCTAAAATCTCAGAGGGTTCATGACAATAATGTAGTAACATTGCTAACTGCTAAGTGATATTCACTTTTCCTTTTTTTCCTCAATGACAGAACTCCTATGTGGAGGTTGGGTTGCAATGTGCCCAGCTATCAAACTTATGCTTCTCATTTTTATTTGGAAATAGGCATAGCTAAGGATATAAGGGAAACATTGGGTGGTGTTCTTAAGCAAGCTCCTTTAATAGAGGCCACCTTTTCACGTGGAAGGCTCCTCTTGCCTTTCTCCTCTTCCTCCAGTCTGGAATACAAATGTAATGGTTAGCACTCCAGCAGCCTCTTTGTGAATATCAGGATACAGCTGATACTTTTGGAATGGCAGAGCAGTGAACTGGAAGGGCCTTGAGCCCTGATGAACTACAATATTTTACCAAGACTGATTGCATAACAAACCACTCCTAAAACTTGGATTAAAACAAACTCACTTGTTTAGCTCCACTTCTGCATTTTGGCAGTTTGGGTTGGGCTAAACTAGATGATTGTTTCCAACCTGGGATAGTGTTGATTGATCTTGGCTGCATTCACTCATAGGTCTTTAGTCAACTAGTAAGTCAGCTGGAGTTAGCAAGTTTTTGATGGCCTCAGTTGGGATAGCTAGGACAATAGAAGCCTCTCTACTTATAGTCTCTTTCCAGCAAGCAGCAGAAAGAAACAGCTTTCATGTATTAGTCCATTCTTACGTTGCTATGAAGAAATACCCGAGACTGGGTAATTTATAAAGGAAAGAGGTTTAATTGACTCAGTTCCACATGGCTGGGGAGGCCTCAGGAAACTTACAATCAGAAGGCACCTCTTCACAGGGCAGCAGGAGAGAGAATGAGTGCTGAATGAAGGGTAAAGCCCTTATAAAACCATCAGATCTCATGAGAACTAACTCACTGTAATGAGAATAGCATGGGGGAAACCACCCCCATGATTCAATTATGTCCACCTGGTCCTGCCCTTGACATGTGGGGATTATTACAATTCCAGGTGAGAGCTGGGTGGGGACACAGAGCCAAACCATATCCCTTCTCTACCAGCTTTAGGTTTGAAGAGATGAAGGGAGCTGGCAGCTACCAGAACCCAAAAGCAGGTAGAAGTCTGGGTGGAGAGAACTTTCCTTTAGGAGATGCAGCCAACCCATAGTGACCCTGCAGACAAGTTTCTGGGCAAATCAGTGCCCTTATCACCCTCTTGTCTCTCTCCCATCACCTGCTGGTGCTCCCTGATAGCCAACGCAATAGAAGTCAGAGGGCAGACAAGCTGATTGGTGTGGTCTATATAGGTCAGCGTCTGAGGGCAAGAATGGGATGGAGACACAGAGAGAGATTTTGGAAAAACAATCAGAAGACATCCAGCGGGTAAAAAAAGAGACACCACCTCTTAACGGAAGGAGCTGCAAAAAAGTGTAGCCATTATTGCAAACAACCAGTGGGCCTCATATTGAAATAACTACTATATCCTATGTTTTTGTTAACGTTTTATCACTACTTATATTAGTTAGCTAGGGCTGCCACAACAAAATACCACAGACTGGATGACTCAAACAAAATGTACTGTTGCACAGTTTTGGAGGTGGAAAGTCCCCAATCAAGGTGTCAGCAGAGTTGGCTTCTGAGGCCTCTCTCCCTGTCTTGCAGATGACTGCCTTCTTGCTGTGCCCTCACATGGTCTTTCCTCTGTAGCCACATCCCTGGTGTTTCTTTCCCTTCTTATAAGGACACCACTGCTGTTGGATTAGGATATCACCCTAATGACCTCATTTAACTTCACCAGTTTAAAGGGCCTATCCCTAAATACAGTCACATTGGGGTGAGAGCTTCAACCTATAAATGTTGGAGGACACCATTCAGTCCGTAACATTACTCTATGTCCTCGATTTCTGGTTCAATCTGAGCAAAAGGGTTCCTCTCTGAAGCTTTTAAACTGTAAGCCGTCCCAAACTGCTGTGGCTGGTAAATGCAATTCTGAGAAGATAAGAAGAGGCTGTTTATGAAGGAGCAAGAAGGGTATGAAATTCCAAATAGTAAATTCATTTCAAACATCCTGTCAAAGTTGAAACCCAAAAATCTTTTAAGAATAAAATTCTGCTTGGCATTTGGTACCAGGAAAATTTCCTCGCTAGGATGTCTTGGAAGTTCCCTTAGAACTCTGTGGGCTTGAATGACTTAATGTTATGTCCTTTGGAATGGGACCACTACACACACACACATGCATGCATGTACACACACACACACATGCACACACACACACACACACTCCACCTCAAAGCATTGCATGGTAATTAAATGCTGTTTTCAAACTAGCATCTGTAACTCTAAAAGCATAGAAAATCAGATTTTTTTGTTTAACACAAGAGACCAAAATTCTCTCTCTTCTTCCTGTGGATAAAGGAAAATATGATAAATGGAAGACAATGTTAGATTACTTATCTTAAAATATTGAGTATAAAAGATTTTGTATCTTCCCTTGCAGATGTGTGACATGGACAAAAAGCTCCCCATGGTGGAAAGAGGAGTCAGAAAACACCTAGACAATGAGAGCAAGATGGGGGACCCAAAACGGTGCCCTGGCATAGGCAGGTGGTGAAACCAGCCATCTGGCCCTGTGCCCTGTCCTCAGAAGTGCCCCTGCCACCCCAGCAGGTACATTTGCAGGTGAAGATTTTTCTTTCATTTTAGTGTCCTGGAAACCAAGTATTTTCTGTTGGTGGTGTCTCTCTTGCACCAGGTGAATATTTGCCTGGCTTACCTGAGACTTAGACCATCCTAATTTCAACCTCCACTGACACAAACTAGGTTGGTTCACAACAGGCTGCCATAAAATTTCTCATTTTTTTCTGCGTTTGAAATGTGTAACTTTTGATTTACTTCCTAAGTAAGACTTCCTGAGTTGGGAGCTCTGAAAAGTTCCATTAAAAAATAATGGAATTGTCAAACTTTTGAGCAAAGTATCAATGTCAGTTCTAAATCTTTGAATTTAATTTCTTCTTTTAGGGGACTCTTGGAAAGGGAAAATATGATCTTACTACATTGACCATGCAAATTCTGAGGTTCATATTGAATCTAAAGTCATTAGAAAATGTAAATCTCAATAAAATCCCTAATACTAAATACTCATAGATATGTATATATTGCCCATAGACATGTAGTATGTATTCATGTATCATATATGTATAGGTATATATATGTTCATATGTCATATATTAAAACATATATGAATTTATAAGACGAAGCTAGACATTACTGACACATGTTATAAATAAATAAAGAAAATCTTTGACAACCTAAACTATGCCAATATAAACTCTCAGAATTTCTGGAAAAGTTAAATTTTCATTAACCCTGTCTCCTCTCATAGCCAAACTGTGGTGATCTTCATGGATCTTACAGATAAGGAATTTGTTCCAAAGAAGGTTGTTATTTAAACTTACAAATTGGCATAAATATATTCATTACATTAGTAATCAAAGTACCCAATGAAAAATGATTTTCTACTTGGAAACTGTGCCTTCCAAATGGAAAAATTAAAGAACTCAATTGAAGGATAAAATATTTATTTAAAAAGCAAATATTGCAAATGCATGAAGTTGCCAAATATACTAACCATAGTTTTGATGAGCTGGAAATCTTCAGCAAATAAAAGTTTGGGTTTCTCCCCACATAAAATATTAATGGCTAGATTGTTGAGACTTTTGTTATTACCTAGGGCCCTCCAGTGGCAGGACACTTGTGTGTTGCCTAATGTTGGTTTATGATTATTTTAAGCATTATTGAAGTATACCAAGGACCACGTTCACTCCTTCCATTAATTCATTCATTTAAAAGATATTTGTTGCACACCAACTACATAAACATTCCTTGAGTTTCAGCACTGTAAAAAAAACAATGATCCTTGCCCTTTTGGATCTTATCATCAAGACACAATTTTAAAAACACAAAATATATAATTAAATGATATAGTACATTAAATGATAATGAGAACTATGGAAAAGAGAAAAAGGAATGCAGCATTGGAGGCTTCTGGAGTGTGAAGGGGGTGGAGATATGCTACAATTTTAAATAAAGAACCATTACAAAGTGATACTTAAGCAAAAACTTGAAGGAGTTAAGACAGTCATGTGGATGTCTGTGAGATAAGCATTTACAGAGTTTGTCAAAGAAAGATGTCACTTGAACCCCACAGCCAGAGACCTTACCTAAATCCACTGATCTATAGTACTAATGTCCTCAACTGTCAAGGCCGTCCATTCTGAGTCCAGGCTCCCTGCTGTGGAATCATCATCCACAGCCATTTAACAACAACTTAGCTCTTAGATCCAAGAGATAATAATCCACTGTTGTGCCAGTTTTCAGAAACTCCTTATAGACCCCAAACTACAAAAACCTAGTTGAAATACCTTAAACTTCACCTGGAGTTTGTAGACAGTCAACTCTAAGCCCAAGTTCAAGAGTTATCCATCAACGTCCTTGACTATTCTAAGGGGACTTTTGCCACTTAGGTGATATAGAAAATAATTTCCAAAGGATCAGTCCTCCACCTGGCTTACGTTAATGAGAAAACTTTATAACTTTGTTTTGTTTGTATATAGGTTTGAATTTGTCTTAGGTTGATCATTGTTCTCTTAAAGTAATTTTCAGTTGGCCGGGCATGGTGGCTCACACCTGGAATCTCAGCACTTTGGGAGGCCAAGGCAGGTGGATCACATCATGTCAAAAGTTTGAGACCAGCCTGGCCAACATGATGAAACCTCATCTCTACTAAAAATACAAAAATTAGCCGGGTGTGGTGGTGGGTGCCTGTAGTCCCAGCTACTTGAGAGGCTGACGCAGGAGAATCTCTTGAACCCAGGAGGTGGAGGTTGCAGTGAGCCGAGATTGTGCCATTGCACTCCAGCCTGGGCAACAGAGCAGAAACTCCAACTCACAAAAAAACAAAAAACAAAAACAAACAAAAAAAGTGATTTTCGGTTTTAGCCACCTTTAAAGAAAATCGAGGAACAACAAATTTGGAAACAGAACGAATGTAGCAATAATCCATTATCTAAAGGAGCTGATCTAATCACTTTTCTCAATGGATAATCCATCACTACTCCTGGCCTGCCACATCGCCCATTGCCATCCTTTGTCAAAGGGCCCTTGCTAGTTGTCTTTCATCCATTGAAGAAAGTTGATTGTTCGCAATGTGTGGAGCTGTGAGCAAATGCACCAGCAGAAGAACAACAATTCTCCATTCCTCCTCATCTCTCTGGAGTGGTCCGAAGTCTCAGTTGCAGGGTGAAGAAGATCCACTGTCATGGACTTATTAAAAATGATTCCTGCTGAAAATTAGGGGCCCATATTTTTTCTGCTACCACATTTTGTCCATTAGAGCTCAAGGACCTAAGAAGGACATAGTTCTTCATTCCTCATTTCATGATACAGAGTGATATATAGGTTTCTACATGCTAATCTTCTTTCATGTGCCAACCAATGCTGAAGGGACACTATTTCACCTGAATTGAAATGAATAAAAATTAAGCCCCAAGGGGTAAAAAATCTCCCTAGTAGTTCTTCAATATTGCAGTAACCTTACCTGATGCACTATTATTTTCCCACACCACTGTGGGAAACACGTAGAGTTATCCATCCTTCAATAAGCAACTCCCTAGATTGTTATGTTTTGCCAACAATGATACTGGTATCTTAGAAACTAATTGTGTCTTGGGTTGTACTTAGAAAGTAACATTTGCAAGGTGTTTGGGGAAAAGAAAAATATAGCTGTACAAAAGAAGTTTTGATAGGTATGGTACCTGGTGTTAAACCAAGAGACATACGTTACTTAAAGTATTGTGCTAATACTGAGAATAAAAAACTTGTTGGGTATAAGAGCAATGTTGATAAGTGATATTAAACTTATACATATAAAAAATTGCAGATACCTCTCATAAGATGGTAAACAAAATGTATGAATGTGTATTTAGAAGAAAAGATGTAAAAATCATAAAGTATATACTTCAGAACCAACTTTGAAATAACATCATACCAAAAAAGGCATCAAAAGGGATAACTATATAAAAACACGAAATCTTCTTACTATTTTCTTAAAGACATTAATTCCTAAATTATTTTAAGTGGTAAGTTCCTTTAACCCTGTATTTCCAATTCCATTTTTAATCAAATGAAATCTTATATATAGCCATGAATATGCAAGACTTCATAGTTAGCCATACTAGTATAGAGAATTCTAAAAATATGAGGTGAGGTGTTTAAATAGGCACAAGAAAGGGACAGAATTCCAAAGAGTAACAATATTAAGAAGAAATTTGTTAAAGTTGAAGACTGGAAATATTCACAAGCATTAAATTCTTTTCAGAGTTTGACGACCAAGCAAGCATTCTTTTCAGGCGGTCTAAAAAATTTCCCTTGAATTCAGATGGATTTCAAAGGTTCATTTTTATTTCCCATGGAATATAAAAATATTACATGCTAATTGACTGTCATTAGAATTGGTATCTGTGACTTCGAGAAGTTTTGATTGGCAGAAAAGCCCAGACACATTTCATCTCTTCTTTATGTGGCCACAGGAAACGTTAACAAATGAATGACCCTTGAAGATAATGTGTAGACAATTTGTATCACCAATTCCAAACCAGAATCACTCTTCATGCAGTAACAAGGCTAGCTAATACTCCACAATTATGCCTCAGGTAAGGCAACAGCTAGACTTTTGTGGTCTTATCTTTAAAATGAACTTCATCACACTTCATATGCCTGAAGGCACAGGATGGGGTCAGGACTTCCCCTAAGATGCTATAAAGCTCCAGGAACTTTGATTCCACACTTTAAAAACTTCAAAATACTCCCATTGACCAGAAAAGTCAAAAAAAACTGCTGTGCCTGGAAAGCAATATTCCTGATTACCTGGCTGCCCACTGAAACACCCCTCAGCTGATTCATTCTCTCATTACCTCCCAGTGTGAGACTCTAACCCAGTAGAAAGCTTCCTCATTGCAATGAAAGCATACTCATTTTTTTATGATCTAAAAGGTGCTTCCTCTCTAGCTATCCTAATTCTATCCAGATATGATCATCAGAATAAGGACCCCAATTTCTGGAGCCTGTGACTATGTCACCAGACAGCGAAAGGACCTTTTCAGATATGGTTGTTAACTATCTTGAGATGGGGAGGTTATCCTGGATTAACTGGGTGGGCCCCATGTAATCACAATGATCCCTATTAGTGAAAGAAGGAAGCAGGAGAAGCAGTCAGAGAAGGACATTTACAGATGGAAGCAGAGGACAAAGCTATGTGATTGCTGACTTTGAGGTTAGGAAGATGAACCAGGAATACTGCAGCCTCCAGAAGGAACCAGATCCTCCCCTAGAGCCTCAGGAGAAATGCAGCCCTGCTGACACCTTGATGTGAGCTGATTTGGGACTTCTGACTCCCAGAACTTTAAGAATAAATCTGCGTTTTAAACCACTAAGTTCGTGGTAATTTGTTACGGCAGCAATAGGAAACTGATAAACCAGCCTTCAAGGTTCAAGTCTCACTTCCTTGGAAGTTTGACCAAAGCACTCTAACTCACTCTGCTTTTCCTTAAAAATTACCTTGAATATCTATTTGAGTGTTACCATTACACCTCCAATGTAATATGTCCCGTAGCAGTAAAATTGCATTTTGTTATATAAGTGAGAAGCTTGTGCTGAAGATCCACATAATGCTGGGAACAGGCAAGCCATTAAAATGGATAAAAGCACTTACAGTTTGTAACATAAATAGGAAAAAAGACATGTCTGTCTCTTTTTACCCTGTTTAGGAATACTTTGCCTACTCTAAAGTCAAAATGATATTCTGCTATGTTTTCTTCTAGACAATTTTTGTTTTACTTTATAATTAATTTTAATTAATTTTATATATTACATGAGGCAGGAACTGAAGCTTATTATTTTTCCTTACAGATATCCACTGCTCCAGAGCTTTTTGTTGAAAGGTTCCTTTTCCACATTGAATTAATTTGGTGTCTTTATCAAAAAAGAAATTTATATATGGATCAATCTATTTCTGACGTCTCTATTAATTAATCTACATGCCTATCTTTAGACCAAGATCACACTGTCTTGATTATTATATCCTCATAGTAAGTGTTGA